CAATGCATCGCAATATTTCAAGTATCGTGATGCATCGTGATAGAATCGCATCATGGCATGTGAATCGTGATTGGAATCGAATCATGACTTCTTTGCCAATACCCACCCCTACTCTGGAATTGGAACTTGAGCAAAGTTATGCACCTTCACCAGGTTCCAGTTCCAAATCCACCCCGTTGGTTCTAACTCCTCCTAATTGTAATATTTTCTAAAAACAGATTTAATCTTTTGCATTCCATAAAACATGTAACAACATATTCAAATAGATCATGGGGAGCGCATGCAAATGAAATATAAATATTTAGAGGTAAATACTTTTCTTTTTGTTTTTGCTGCAGCTTTACCTGCCTTTAAAGGCAAGTTAAGTAAATATTTATTTTCTGTTAAGAGTTCAGTTTAATTAAACCTCTATCTACAGACCTTCTGCGGATTTTCTAATCTAAATTTTTTTAGCTTTAAGTAGAATTAAAAGTACTGATTCTTCCCCTTCTTTAACTTATCAGGCGGTTTAGAAGGGCTAAAAATAACTTTATGTCCAGATAATATTTTACTGGTAATTTATGTTTTTTTTTTGCACATGTATTCATTGATGCTTTTCTTGTTCTAAAAACTTACAATTCCCTGGTCCAAACTCTTTCTTTGTAGGTCTGTTCTTGGTTTATTTGTCCTGCTGGAAGTCAAACCTCTCCTGCAGCCTTATCTCTTCTCCAGCTGCTCACAGCTTTTCTCAGGCTCAACGCTAGAAAATATTAAATTCATGATTGGATCAACAAATAACTGGAATATTTCCAGCAGTTAGTTCCCAGATCAAATAAGTCAGCCCAGCCTGGCTGCTTAAAAACACATAACTAAATAAAGGTAAATAAATAAGAATTGAGATGACATTAGCTGGGATTTGAAAAATAAAGGGCCGTCTTTTGAAAAGAGCCAATAAACGATGTGTAGTTTGTTTCTAACAAACTGATCCAAAGGTTCAGTCTGCCTCGCATTTAAACCCCATTTCTACTCATCAAAAAGTGATTTACAGCAGCTGCCGTCTATAACGGCCGGAGGTTTCCTCTTAGAGCATGAAAGCCAATCCTGACATCTCCTTATAGTATTTGAAACAGACTGATAGATAAAAACATGACCTTTACACAGTATTTTTTAATTTAGTTAAAAAGTTTTATGATTTAGATCAAAGGTCACAGATTAGCGGACTGCGGTCCGGATCCGGATCCACCTGCTGGCT